ATCATTTAAGAAACTATATGGTAGTTTGCGAACATTAGAATTTTTACTAATGATACTTTCATGTCACTTCTGAGATAGGTTAAACATCTGGTAGAAATGAATAATGCAGACTTAAATATTTCATGTCGAAATACCTCAACATACTTAATAACATTTTATTTTTTGTGGCAGCTATTCCCAATTTGTTTTTGGAATTCCCGAAAAATATGCTAAATCACTTGTCGCAATGGAATTAAATTTTCAAAAATCAAATCTGTGTCATTAAAACTGTATTCTATCATATGTTTGTACAAAGTTTATTACTAAATCGGTTTATTGAACAATAAAAAATATTTTTTGTTTTAGCTATAGTTGAATAAAACGGTCATAATTTTCATTTACATGATGGACACATTTGACACTGCTGAGGTGCGTAGCAGGGACACATACGACACTCTCTCGATGTTGGTTTCGGAGTTTGCGTTGTTCTCGTTTCGAAAGTCCAAGCTGCCTTTGGTGCGGGTGGCAGCGTCAAACGTATTGGTTCTCGTGTGGGTGGTATCCAAATTGTTGATTGTTTCGTCGGCAAACAGTCTTTGCCACCGCAATTTACAGTTATTATGCAGCCGTCACATGTTTTATCAATAACTAAAATCTGAGATGCTTCTTGAAATTCTCTTGAATTTAAGGAACCACTGTTGAATCACAGTGGAAAACTGTAAGATTAATAATTGTAGAATACCTTTCGGTTGCACATATTCTGGTTGCACAGCTGACGGTAGCGAGGGTTGAATATATTGCCATGGTCTGCCTGGTGGTTGTATTTGTCGAATAGATTGCTGTCCCAGGTTGTACGGTTGCAGTCCCAGATTGTATGGTTGCAGTCCCAGATTGTATGGTTGCAGACCCAGGTTGTATGGTTGTCGCTCTATGTTGTATGGTTGCAAGACTGGTGGATACATTTGCTGCCGATAATCCACCAAATACATTGCATTTACTACTGATAAAAGCATACAAAATGGGAGGATAAGTTTGCAATACATAACTGAAATACGCAATATTAATATCGAAATTTTCCAAATTTTAAATTTAATTGAGACGAAAAATCCCACTAAATGAAGAAAAAATACCCATATTATTTATTCACTTCGCTCATTAGACCCAAAGTTGATGAAAGCCTGAAGTCTTTTCAGAGGACTCTATTTGCGTTGAAGTGATATAAATATCCGATCACTCATTACTACTTTCACTGATACCACACATCGGATATACGTGATACACCCAAACTACATTACGTTTATTGTAATTGTCGCGTTATTTGATGACGAACTGCTTACTTCGTCTCTTCTTATATGTGATTTGAAAAAATTTTGCTTAAATAACGTAACATTCTTTTAACGAAAGAATTCTCTCTCTGGTCAAAGATTGTCAGCTAAAATTTTTATGATTCCTTGCGAAACCTTATTTTCTTCTTTTAAGATTTTTCATTCTAACATTTTCCGAAAGGAAGAAAAAACAGGAAAGCTTTCAGAGTGATTGCTTCACACCCTGGAGTAATTTTCCAGCGCAGAATTTTTTAGACAATATAACTATAAATTGTAAAAATTTTAATAAGTTTTACGCAATTTTCAGATATTCATGTTCAGATTCTAAAAAAGATTTTATGAGAAAGAATTAAACAAAATTTTTCATAATCTTGTAACATTTTCAGGAAAAAACAAAAACATGAAAATTTTCGATTGTAAAAAAGCTTTTATGAATCGAAAAAAATTCATTTCATTCTTTCATCGATTAAATTAATTGAATATCAAGCAAAAGGGTTTGTTTACATGTATCAAATAATGTATTTTCATTTTATTTTTCTCAATAAAATTGTTTTTAAAGATTTCCTTCTCAACAAAATTGTTCTTTTAAAATTTTTGTCATTAACAGTAACAATTGCTTTTTTTCATTTGCTGAATGAATAGGGCAAGTTCAATTTTCTGTACCGATCAATTTTTTATCAAATTTTTCCTTTCTTTTTTTGTTTATTTTTTGATAATAATCATATTTGAAATTTGCTATGATATGAAATATGCAAATTTATTTATGATATCAATTCATATCCCTCTGTTATTTGTTAGGTCTCAACAATGGTTGCATCTAAAATGAAAATGTTTAAAAATCATTAATGATTTGCTGGTGTTAAAATTAAATTATAATCTAAAGTTGACATTGATATGCTTCATTGTAATGATGCATTTAGTCAATTTGTTTGTTATTTATACGATAATACAACTAAAACATTTCATTAATTATTGGTAAACAAATTTATGTGTTAATCATTGGTGCCATGGACGATTGTTTTGGTCATTTGGTCAGTCAAGATTGCTCGATTACTTAGCCAATATCATTCCTCCTATTCCTATTGGACATCTGTTAACGTGGATTTATTGAAAGCATTCTAACAATGATTACCATTGATCGGATGGAAATTTTTAATTTGAATTTAAATAAACCCGTATAAATTTCGTTTTACCATGAAGTACAATTGTACTTTCTTCTTATAATGTTTTTCTTTATTTACAGAATATAAGTAAAGTTTTATTACTTTTAAGTGTATTTTTAAAATGCAAAGTTTAAAAGATAAAATTTATATTGTGCGATGAAAATTTAAAGCATAAAATGAGCGACATATGCCGAGATGCTTTTTTTTGATAGCATAATTAGCAGCACAAATTATGGGTCTTACATAAATACCGTTGTATGTGATCCGATAAAAAAACTACCCATATTCTTTGATTTTTATGTCGATATTCAAGAATTAAATCCTTCGATTAAAATTAGAGTATTGTAAACATTAATGAAATGCATGCATAACATTTAAGAAGAAAAAAAATCACCGAAAATGACTGGAAAAATAAATAGAAAAATAAATAATTTCAAATAAAAAAAAAACAAAAGCAAGTTAAAAGAATTTCAAGAAGTTCATAAATGCTGCTTGCTAATAAATGGCAATAATTAGCACAACGTTTTCACCAAACAGACTTTTTTTCGAATAAATTGAAAAAGAATTTGAATAGAAAAACAGAAATTCTCTTTCATATAACTAAGATATAAAGTTTCGATTTTTCTCCTTCCTCTTTTTTGTGTTTTGTTCTATAATTTGCATTTACAAGTTAGGAAGATAATTAAACAATTAAAAGACAAGCAAAGAGAAATTTGAAAATTATGTGAAAGTCCTAGCAATACTGAACATAGCAAATAAGCAGTACAAATAAAGTTGAGGTCGATTTGAAGAGGAATGTTTTAGATCACGTACAATCAAATCTAAATTTCCATCACCTGTTTTCGAAACAATCACGTTACGTAATTGCCGTGTTCTGAAATTTATATGTGCGGTGAAATTTTGATTCAAACTTCAGAAAAATGTAAAAAGTTACTGCGTATTTTTGTAATTCATAAATGTATTTTCTACTTCATAACTCTAAAATTTTAAAATTTTTGATTCTGAAATTGTTTTTTGAATTTTTATAATAAGAAGTTATCATAAAAGGTTACTTAAAAAAAAAAGGAAATAAAATTTTTCAGTAACTTGAGCCTTACTTTGTTAATGATATTTCTAAAGTAATTTTTGTTGGATTTTTCAACATTCCATCCTGACAATTATTTCCTCCAACAGTAAGCTCTACTTGCCAACCTCTGAAAGTTAATTTGATTAATATTTCCTCACATTATAAAACACTGAAAATGCACTTAATTTTAAAATTAAAGAATTGAAAAGAAAAAATCAAATAAAATAACCTGTCAATAAGTTCGACATCATAGCAGTTTTGATCATGGCGCGCCTGTCCCGCTGCTTTCATATTGTAGTAATTATGTTGCTTTCCTCGATTTTCAATGGACAAACGACCATTATAACCAATAAATATCTTAAAATTTTAAAATCAAATTGCAGCAATTATTATAATTAATATATAATTAATGATAACTATTCGATTTTTGATTGCATTATGAATGTAAATACAAAAAGGTGAAGTAGCAATTTTAATCAATTTCATAAACGTATGAAAATTTAAAAATTTAATATTTAAAACTTTAGCAAAAGTTTGTGCCGAATAAAATATTTAGTATATTAATAATAGAATGAATACATCTAATACATAAACAATTAAAATTTTCACAAAAATAATGTAAATTTTCAAAATATATTATGTGCACTCTCAAAATGTATAAATTTTTTCTATCTGTTTTGAAGGCAAAATTGTTGCAGTTAGTTATATTTAATAAATTGAATCACTGTTAAATAAAACTTTCTGAGAAAAGTAAGTATTCAAGGAAATGAATATTTTATTTACCTTTATACCAGTAGTAATCTCAGGTGATTGAAGATCGAGCACCTTCTCCAATAGATATATCACGAAACCGCTATGCTTCAGCCAATCATCATTAATATTTTGTTTCTTTTTTACAAATATTAACTGAAATTTGGTAAATTATGTTAAGATAATTAAAATCGAAATTCCAACTTGGTCTCAAATAAAAAATGAAAAGTTTTTTTCTTAAAATTACCAATTGTATAGCTGAAAAAAGTAATGAAATGTTTTAGCTTTATTCAAATAATGGAAAATTTAGTAAATCTTGCAAAAATACTACAGGAAAATAAAACAAGCAAATTATAATGTTAAATATAAAATAAGCATTAATCAAATACAATTCTATAAATTAAAATAATTTTTAATGTATAAAACAATTTCTTATTATCTTTTTCAATGTCTTATTATAAGTAATACTATAAATAATTATTTCATCAATTTTTTCAGCAAAGTATTAAATTCTATTCTTAGCAAGGAATTGAGCATGAAAGCTAATACGAAAAAATTGAGTAGTGAAGAATTAAATTAGACTGAATTTGAATTTAAAACTTGAAATAGCAGAAAAAGGAAACCTTAGCAGTTATCCGTTGAATATCAGGAAATACTAACGGTTGCATTAGTGAGATCAGAAATGCCGTTGGCCAACCGAGAAATGCAACACCCTCATCGCTTACTATCGCTCCAGATGACTGAGCAAAAACAGACGGAAATTCTATCAAATTCCAATGGCTTCGATTAAATTCCGATTCACTCTAAAAAATACTGTACTTAAATTCGAAATTCAATTTTAAAATTAAAATTTTGAACGTTGTTCTTTTTTTGCTTCTTAAAACAGTGAATTATTTGCATCAATTATTGAATAATTTGTAATTGTTATTACACTATTTACTTAGCTAGTTGATACCATTATGTTAAAATTAAAAAGTGATATTAAAATCATTATTGATAAAAAGGTTAATTAATCATTTATATTAAAAAAGTTTGTAAAACTAATAAATTTAATTGCGATTTATCAATTTGAAAAAATTTTATAATATATTAACCATAACGATAGAATATGGAAGCATTTTCAAGATGTTTCGATGTTTAGCATGTAAATCGAATACTAAACGTTTGGAGTACACGCCAGATCGGAGGTTAATTATTTCGTACCAATCTTTTATCGAGTCCATTTCATCACTCCAAATTAATGCAGAAATTGTGGGTCGTATGCCCAAAATAAATTCAACCTGTTTAATTGAATAAGCAGCCTGGAAATGATAAGGAAAAAAATGAAAAATTTATTTGAATTGAAGATTATGAAGGTAAGACTTTCCTATTTTAACAACATGTCAAATTAATCTGTGGTAATTATACGCCGAAAAAAAAGGTTACATTGGTTATCAAGAGAGACGAAATTCATAAATGAATATAATTTGACAATTAAATTTGATCTGAATTCAAATTCAATTTAGATTAACTTCTTAGCGTGATTTATTTTAAACTTCAACTAATAATTAATATAGAGAAAAAATGAAGTATTAATGACGATTGATTAAAAAAATGTTAAGATTTGCTATTTTAATGATAAATCAAATTAATGCGAAATTTTATAGGCTTAAAAAAAGGAACAACACTGTCGTGTTAACAAATGAAAAAGATAGATAAGCTTTTTATTCTCATTTAGATAATTTACTAAAATAAATACAACTTACCGTACTAAGTCGAATTGTTAGCACAAGCGGTTGGTCGATTTCTTTTACAAGTGCTAATACATGAAACAGTTCGCGCCAACCAATGCTGAATATTGTAAAGTAAAATATGAAATTGTAATTAAAAATGAACCAGCTAATTACTGCAATAATTAAAAAAGTTATCACTTAGGTGAGAATAAATTAATCCGAAAATTTAATAAATACTTTTCTATATATCAATTATTATTGATTTGAATTAATCATTAATTAATTTAAAGTGTAAAATTACAGACTTCATTTGTGGGATTGTCAGTTCCGATAAATTATTTTTTGTCCAGCCAATTGAAAGAGTTGCATCCGGAAAGTATTCTTTAGCACTATCAATAAATTCGATTGCATCTACCGGTATCTACAATAGATAATAATAATTAATAATAATAACAATAGTAGTAACTAATAATGATAATAATAACAATAATGGTTTAATCATAATCTAAAATTAAATAAAATAAAAGAAATAGAGTTGTTTAAAACAAAATTTTTAACTCTTTCATGCTTTTCCATAAATTTTGATAATTCAATTTTAATTCACAACACATTTTCATATTTCTAATAATCAATGAACGGATTTAACTAATAAAAATAAAGCTAAATTAGCATACTTTAGCGTTGTAAAATTTCTGATCAAAGCATGATTGTTTTCATTATTTCGAATTGCAGACATGCAACTTATAAGCTTTTTATTTATTATAATTTCATTTCTCATGATAAAAATTTTTTGTTCCCTTATAATTATTCTTCATTATTTAAAATTATAAATACGAAATTTGTTATCAGTTAATGATGTGACAATAATTATATTACTTCTTTACTTCTGGGTGATCGAAAGACATTCGCATGTAATACAATGGGTGAAGAAATTTCATCGCTTGCGGCAAATAAGTACTGTAATACCGGACGAACTGCTGCTGTTGATCGAACATTAATTTTAATTACTGAAATATAAGTATATTCGTTATACTTTTGCCTTTTTTTTTCTTTAGAAAATTAAAAAATATATTTTTTTAATTTAAAAAGTAGTTTAATTTTTTTGTATTGATAATCTAATATTTCATGTTAAAAACTCAAATTTAAATTATACTTTTTGTTGTATCTGTCAATTTATCGCTGCAGAACGTTTGATTGATGCAATAATTAGGTAACTTTGAGTAATCCATTGAAAACCTTTATTTTGCAATTAAAACCCATATTTTAATTTAATATGAGCAGTTTTATGAAAAAAGAATAAATCGATGGAAAGATGTGATTATTGATCAACAATCAATTAATTAACAGTTATTGAATAATGAATAATTAATTAATACATAATTGAAATTAAAATTGAAGAGATATATGAAAAATTACAATTTAAAGAGATAAGAAAATTATCGAGGGCTTAATCATTGCTTTTAATTATTTCATTACTTTTATATTTCATCCAAATGTATACATATATCCGAACCAATCTTCTGACTATTTAAACGTAAAAATGATAGTATGCTCTGATACAATCAATAGTTTGTTGATAATTAATCTTTCAGTTTTGAGTAATCGGACGATGGAAACGGAATGTGATGACCTTTCCAAAACTGTCAATAGCCTGGTCAAAAGATGATTGATCAATTAATCGTAATTATTGACTTCTAACAATAATTGATCTTATGACTAGAGTATAATTATTAACCAAAATTATATTTTCATTATAGATATATTTAAAGATAAAAAAGTACCTGTTTTACATTTATAAAGTTTGCAACTTTTTGTCAAGAGAAAATGTTATTTGAAATGTTTAATTTTTATTATTTGAAAAATTAATCCAAAAAAGTAATAGCAAAAATTTTAGCCAATTGCTGTAAAACAAATAAATAAATAAACATTTAAATATAATAAGCAGATTCTAACAAAAACAGATCTCAAAATTGTTTTAAAAAAATAAGAAAGGAAAAAATGGGTGAAATATTATTTGAAATTAAACCTTTTCGTAATTTTGCAACTTCTCGAAGCCATTCTTTAAATGTGATACGATCGGCAATTTTCAACGGTGTGCTCATTAACGGTATCGCTCGATTACGATGCTTTCGTTGTTGATAGAGGAATACATCACCTTCAATCATCGTACTTCGTTCCAAAATTGGTCCTAAACAATTTATAGATATTTTTGAAATTTTCTTAATTACAATCTATAATGATAATTTACTAGTTGATTTACTTACTTACTATTCGATTATTTTTATTTTTTGCCTTCTTTTTTGAAATGGAACAATTTCAACTATTACTATATTAGCGAAGTTAATTTATGTCACACCGATATTGCTTTATTGTTTATCCGTAGAAAAAATAATTTTCATTTTTTAAGATTGAATTATAAAGTAATATATAAAATCAAACTTTTTAAATTAAAAAAATTGAAAATTTTGAAAATTTATTTATTGATTTAAATTGGAAACTTTTTGCACATATAAATGAATTGTATATTTTTAACTAAAAAATTGTATTTGCAAACTAGAGGAGGCAATTTGCGATACTCTCTTCTTTTTGTTCTGAAGAATTTTTTAAGATTTTTTATTATGCGAAGGATTCAGTCATTTTAATTACTGACTTTTAATTCCATTCAATTTTAATAAGCTAAAAGTTTATAAATTAAAAAAATATAAGGATGACAAAATTAGCCATAATGGGGCAATTTATTGTTAGCAATAGGAGTGTAATAGCCGGTAACAGTATGTATTATTTATATATGAAATAAATTATCACTATAATTCGTATCGATTAATTATTATATTCCAGTATTTTCATCTTCAGCTTTTATTTTAGTTTCTAAGAAAATAATTTTATTCGATTGCGAAATGAATTTTAGGTCATCCAAATTTTCATACTAATAAATCAAATCCGCTAATATTAATTAGCAAATTTATTGCACATTCGCAATGACCATATGTTGCTGCTAATTTTCACTTATAATTTTCTCATTAATCATTTCACACGAACTTTTCAACGATAGAATGTAATGATTGATTCATTAATTTATAATTACTACGAAATAAGTAATACCTCATAAATCACAACATTGCATATTTTAATTAAAAATTTTGGAATGATTGAAATTATTTAAATCAAAAAAAGAATTGTATAAAGTGTAACAATTTTCAGGTTATAATTGAAAAATGAATAAAGAAAAAAAAAATGAATCGTAGATAAATTTCAAAAAGCAGTCGTATTAAAATTACTTAATTACTCTATATGAGGTAATTATTAAAAAATTTTATTGCTAATAAATGTAAATTTACAATATTGTAATTTAAGTTAAATTTGTTTCATTCTTCTATACTTTTTTCACTTTTAAATTTTTACCACTCAAATATTTTACAATCATTTGCTACTCTAGAAATTTTCTTATATATAGGAATTCATTAATAACCAAAAACTTGTAATTCGTATAAAGTAATTAACTAAGTAAATTTCAATTTCAATGAAGTTTTTATCCATTTACTTTATAATTATTCCATTGAATAGTATTACACTGTTTCATATTTTAGTAAAATTTCTGTTTTATAATAATTTTTACAAAGTTTTAAACTTCAACAACTTTTAAATCAATAGCTTTTTTTTATTGCTATCAAAGACAAAATTTAACGAGTACAAAAAAAGTGAAAATTTTAACCAAACATTTCATAGTTAATATTTCAAATATTTCAATTAAATTTTAATTTTTTGAAATAACAAAAATTTTATAAATTTTATTTATCTTTTTTTCATATATCATTCTTCTCTCTCTATGTGAACATTATTATGGCTGACGATAATACCAAAATATTTTTACCATTAAGTTGCTCCAACAAAGCTGGCCAACTATTGACCCCATGCGCTACCTGCACCTCACCATCATTGCTATCATTACGCCAAACTTCAACGGCTGATACACGTGTTTTTGATACATAACCTGAAATGATTCCTTTTTGGTTGTAAAATTTGAACTTTGATTTCAAAATTAACAAAATAAATCATTTGAAAGCTTATTTTATCAAATTTAAAGCTTATAAAATGAATTGATTGAATTATCATTAAAGATTATTTCAACTTCTTTTTCCGTATTTTTTCGGCAAAATTCAAATGATTCCTATATTGACCATAACAATAATAATAAATCTTCTCTCGTCCCCTGATATTCTTCCCCTGATGAAGCGGTACCATATCGGACTCTCCCGGAGGAGACAGTGATGAGCAATGAGTTACAAGTTTACTTCAATCTTATAAACAAGCGCATTTGAAATGAATAATGACTTCCTTATTTGTCGTTCAATTTTTAGTCTTTTCAAACTATATAAAATATTAAAAATTCACCAAATTTAAGAAGAAATTCATATTTTTTACAAATTGTTGTGAATAATCAAATGGAATAATTTGTAAATGGACAACTAATCAATTACTAAATTTTTTTCTTTGAAAATCTATTTGCAAAATAATTGAATTGCTTATTAATAATAAGTCGCAGTTAGTCCTTTCAAAGTATTTTTTTAATTATTATAATAAATAAATCGGTTGATTTGTAAACGAATAAATTTATTAAACTGTTTGATAATTCATTTTTCTTTCATTATTAATAGTTGTATCATATAGTTTACAAATATTTATAAATGATAAATAATTAACATTTCTGCGAAATATATCTTTTTCATCCATTTCTTCCTCTCTCTTTAAAAAAGTTTTCATTTTCTACCTGAAATGAAATTCCAATTTTATGTCTTAATCTAAAGAATGATTTAGAAAATGAGGACATAAACAGTTTGTCGCATACTAATTTACAATCATTGTCATTGTCATTTTACTCGTTGCTCTCATCAATTGGTAAATTTATTTAACACTTCCCATTCAATATCATTTTTTCAAATATCATTTTGGCAAAAAATTTTTCTTCAAATTTAACCATAAAATGATAATGTAATGGATGAATTGACTTAAAATCAATTATGATAATATATGTGAAAAGAGAAAAAAAATCTCAAATCGACAAATTCATTTCCATAAGTTTTTGAGAATTATAAAACTTTACCAAATCTATCATTTCTTTAGAAAATTATAAAATTATTTATTTAGTTGTAAAAATAGTAAAACATTTTCTCAAATACTTCGCAAAATTTTATTTTAAGCATATCATTTATCTAACATTTACACTTTTAATTTGAATTTTTAGCGTTTTTATTTGTTTATCAGGATTTGAGTTTCAGTGTTTAATTATCCCATAAAAAGTGTAAAAAGAAATTAGAACTTAGCTTAAGCAAATTATTTCATCTTTTTTTGTTTGTTTATTCAAATTTAAATTAAAATTTACGATTTGTAAATATTTAAAAAACAGATTAGGAAGAAAGGTAGAAAATGGCAAACATACCATAACAACCATTTGGTTCTAAATTGGCCAACCATACCGCACAGATAATAAATTTGAAACAAAACATTAGCCTTCGGCTCTATCCTTCTATTTCAACTATTATAAAAGCCAAATAAATGCATCGAACACTTTTTCTCATTAATTCATTCGTACGCATTCAATTTCATTTCATTTCAGTCCATTTCATTCCATTCATAGTTTTCATTTTATCGCAAATTTATGACCATAAAACTAAAAAAAAAGAAGCGTAAATAAATTAATTGCAAATGAAAAAAGACAAAAGAATTGACGAAAATTTTTATTCCATTTATTAAAATCAAAATATCCGAATCAAATATACATAAACATTTAGCCTATGTATTAGAATTAAATTTTTATTCGATTCCATTATCAAATATCCAACCTGAAACTATTATTTAATTTTCTATTCTCATATCAAAATATCAACCTAAAATCGTCATTTATTTTCTAATCCTTAACTGATGTATTACTTAAAATTAATACTTAATTTTTATTTTACTGCCGAATTCTCGAAACTAAAATAATTATTTGATTTCTGTTCCATTAATATAACTATTACCCTTATCGAACATTTAATCTAAACTCATTATTTAATTTCTATTTCGCTGCCAAATGCTCAACTAAAATGATTATTTAATTTCTATTCTCTTACCGAACATTCAGCCCAAAACCATTCTTTAATTAAACAAACAAACGAAAAAAAAATCGAAGATGAAGAAAAGAATTTCAAATGTCCTTGAACGCATACCGCACATCGTACTGAAATGTGAAAATGAAAAAAATATATATTTATATAATGCACCCCTCCTAATTCAATTCTATTTTTATCAATATATAATCGATTATTATGTAATGGACTAAATTAAGTTAAGCAATCTTTCAATTCACATTAAATTCAGATCATAGAAGTGATAATTAACATAGTCTTATTTTGAATTGAAATAAATATTTGTTTCATTAAACATAATGCAAAATCAAAATAATTTTTTTCCCTAATATACTTTTATTCTATCAAAGTGAGAGAGAGAAAGAGAGAAGAGAGTAAAAGCATGAAATGGATTCAACATTTTATAGCATTCAACAAAATAAATTCCTCGAAAAGGGAAAAAATGAAATCCTTTTCAATGTGATATATTGGAAAGCAATAAATTAATGGTAAATTAGCAGAAAGTTGTTAATTGTTTAAATTAAAAAATTGTAAACTTTTTTGATAAAATTAAAACAATATTCCAAAAATTTATTTTTAACTGGTCCAAAATTCAAAAAAACTTCTAAAATTAAAAAAAAGAATTGAATACTACCGGTAATTGATAGTTTATTAATCGAAATTGATTTATGTGAAATTTAAATTGTGTCTAATTTAATTTATGTATTGAAAATTATATATTACTATTAAAACTTTAAGAATTATTCTTTCCTCCAATTTTATTTGCTCTACCAAATGAAAAAATCAAAATTAATTTACTCAAAAAAGTGAATGATATAGAACAGAATAGTTTTGCGAACATCGACCAGAAATATGAAATGATGGAAGTTTCCTGAGGTTTAGATCTTGTTGATTGATAAGGAGATTGACCCCACCCCCTTTTACTTCTATCTGACCTCTCGTTACCTCTTTACTAGTTGACAAGTGATCTACAACACTGAACATATGTTGTCTGACCTCACCTTACCCTAAATACATAATAAATTTTACAAACAGGTAAAAGACAAAGGAAAAAAGATATTTCATAAATCTTTTTAAGGATAAAAAAACTTTTCAAAAGAAAGTGAAAAAAGAAAATTGGAATAAAAAGCAGATGTTAAAATATGGGTCAAAAAAATAAACCGGTATGAAATTTTAAAAGAAATTTAGACAAAAAATTAAGTAAAATTAAAAAATTAATACACATCAAATATTTTTTCATAACGGAAGAATTTGATTTCCTTTTTATATTTACTTTTATTAATAAATTTTTTACATAAAAGATTTTTGTTTTTTTATTCTTTTGCTTTAATAATTTTCATTTCTTTTTTTGTCGCAAAAGAAAAGTTTTTAAAAAAAAGTTTGTTTTTACGCGATTTTTGCGTATTTGTACCAATTCATTGCCAATTTTAACCCACGTTTGTTTTCTTCACAATTTACTCATTTCGCTAATGTGCCTTACGTAAGTTTGCATCAAGTAAACATTTCTCTGACACGCATTGTCAGTAAAAAACCATCAGTTGTCAAACGAAATTATAAAAGTTAAAAAAAATTGAAAAAATTTGTTGTTGATAACTAAAATAATCAAATATATTTAGCAAAAATATTATCACGAAATTATTGATATTTTTTATTTCGATAGCAGAATTTTATCGTTTTTCAGATCAATTTTGAAATTTTTGAAAATTTAATAAATATTTGGAACTCATTGTTTTTAGCAATTACATGTTAATTTTGGCTTAGTTATTTTTTTCTCCTTTTATAACAATTTCAATTTATCCATTCATTTGTTTATTTATTTTTACTTACTTTTCTAATACATCAAAATATCTTCCACAAATTTACCGTTTTTCTTACATTATAAAAATTTCACAAAATAAAAACAAAAGAAGTTAATTATATGGCTTAATGTCAAGCTAGTAAGGGATTAATTAGATTGAATACAGAAAATTACGACATATTAAAGCACTTCAAACTGTACTGTTTGTCAACAGTTGGTTATCAATAGAACTTTCCCGACATAACTCCAATGATTAAGTATGCTAATTTTCGCCATCATTTGCCTTCTCTAAAATTTCACATTTACGAATAAAAATTAGGCATATAAATAATTGTAATCAAAAAATCACAAATGGTAATCAAAAATCAAATAGTTGAAGTAAATTACTAGTAAATTTAATTTTATATTTATAAAAAAACATTTCAAAGAATTACAAAAATTTCATATTTATTGAGAAAAATAAAAATACAAAAAATAATCAAAATCAAACAATTGAAAATAATACAAATTAATCGAATTTTCAACATTTCAACATAATTTATTCCATTAGTACTGCCATATGAAAATTCCAAATAAGTTACAATGCATTGGCTAAATTTGTTGTGGTAAATTTGATTAATTGTCAGTGTTATCTGTTAATCATTTATCATTATCGATCCATCGTTTGCTTCCTATCACGGCTTCTGATCGTTTCATTTTACATAACAAACAACAACAGTTGCATTACATTTATTTTCTTCATTTTAAATTCTTTTCTCTTTCCTTTCCTTTTTCATCTTTGATTTATTTGAACTATTCGCAAAATTAGCGAAAAAAAATCCTTACTATTTGTTTAAAAATAAAAAAAAATTCATTTACTGAATTGGTACTTGAATGATAAAAAACTTTTTTCTAAATTACAAAATGAAATAAAACGTGTTTTTTTTTTAAAAAATATTTGTCGGAATAGAGAAGGGAGAGAAAAAAAGAAAGAAAGAGAAAGAGAGAGAAAGCGAGAGACAGAGAGAGGGAAAAAAAACGAAATTTGCATATAAGTTGATAACAATGAAAGAGTGAAGGGAGAATGGATGAGTAAACCCGAGAGACATCAATCTTTTGTGGTATGAGTGGGTGGTGGTGGAAGTGTGGATTGCGAAGGAATGATGACTAACCGATTCTCGGAATGAATGACGAAGAAGACAGGAAGCGAGGAAGGAGGAAGGAGGAAGGAGGAGGAAAGAAAGAGGAAGGAGGAGGAAGGATGGAGGAGGAGAAGGAGAAAAAGGAATGCAGTGAAAAATGAATAAAAAAGGAAAAAACGATGCGAAGTTTGAAATAATTGGAAATTTTGAAAATGAAAAAAAAATGCTCTAGTATTTCAAATAGTCAAAAAATTTTTTAAAAAGTTACTGAAATTTCTTTTTGAATTTTTTTGTCTTTTTTTAAAAAACCTTTCGTCTTCCTTTTTACATGCAAGCGTTTCATTTCTAAGTTAAAAACATTATGAAAGGCAATAAATGAAAAAGGAGTTGATAGTTTTCACAAATTTCTGGAAAATTAAAGTAAAAAGAAAAGTGGAAAAATTTATTTCTTAAAATCCAAATTTAATTCGTTTATTTTTTTTTTTGTTTCATTTTCATTTTCATTTCATTTGATGCATCTTAGTGATATGATAGTGACAGCTATTCAATATGATAATGGCATTAAATGTTTTCAGTTACAAATTTGAAATTTTTTATTAGATTAAAAAATTACAATGAACAAATGCATTTCAATAATTAAAGCAAAAATTAATTTTGATTTAATGAAAAAATGCAAAATGTAATTTAATGAAAACGTAAAAATTTTAAAACGTTTGCAAATTCGAAATAAATTAAATATCTCTAACTAAGCTAAAAACTTTCAGCTGAAAACTCTTTGACCAATTTGTTTGAGCAATGATGTGATAAAAATAAAATGTGATTATTTGAAAATTATGATCATTGATGTGATTATAATAGTAATTTGAAAATTTGAACATTTTCCTTTAAATCTATTGGATCGCAAATGGCATTAAAATTCTGAAATAAAATTATATTTTGAAGAAATATGCAATATTATTATTACTATTATAATCACATAAATGATTATAATAGTAACAATAATAATACCAACAAGAAATGTACATTAGTAAAAACTATTATTTGATATAATGTATAAATTTAATAACATCTATTCACATATATGTGTATATTACATTTTACAAAATCAAACCATTCAATAATAATCAATAAATTGATAATATTTATTTTTTATTATATAGAAGAATTTGTCTTAGAGAAATTACATTTGATAAGTAAATATAACTGTTTTTTCCTAAAAAATATAGTAAATAAAAGGGAAGAAAAAGTTAAGTTAAATTGTCAAGCCTGCTACTAATTTTATAAGATTGAAAATTATATGAGGTGGTTGAAAAAGGCATCCTTGGACAATTATTTTCAGCCAAATGTCAAATTCATTTTATGCAAGTGGTAAAAGATTTAAACAAAACTGATGATTATAAATAAATCATATTGGAATTTTTCTTTTCTTCTCCGATCGTTATTTTATGCAAAGAAAAATG